AGGGAAATATCTGCCAAAGGAAATGCAAGTGCTTGTCCAACTGCCCCACATTTTTGCGGAATTCTGGCTTCGTCTGCACCATACCGGTCCTTATCCTGCGCCGAGAATGCTTCATATATTCGTGCATAAAAGTTCTAAGAATTATCTAAATCTTCCAATCTTCCTGTCATCTGAAAGGCCAGATGTCCCTCCATCTATTTGTATATGTTTNTATTTGTAGTAGTTAGGGAAATATCTGCCAAAAAAGTGCCAGTTTTTGTCTGTTTGATATTTTTGGTGGAATTCTTGCTTCGTCTGCGCAATACTGGTCCTTATCCCACGTAGAGAATGCTTCATATAATCGAGCATAAAAGGTCTACGAATTATCTCAATCTGGCAATCTTGGTGTCATCTGAAAGGCCACATTTTCCCCTGTCCATTCATACAAGTTTCATATCCATATTTGCAGTAGTTATGGAAATATCTGCTAAAGGAAATACAAATTCTTGTCCAACTGCCTGATATTTTTGCGGAATTCTGGCTTTGTCTCTGCTATACTGGTCCTTATCCCACGTAGAGAATGCTTCATATAATCGACCATAAAAGGTCTGAGAATTATCTACATCTGGCAATCTTTGTGTCATCTGAAAGGCTACATATTCCTCTATCCATTCATGGAAGTTTTATATCCATATTTTGAGTAGTGCGGGAAATATCTGCCAAAGGAAGAGCCAGTTCTTTTCCAACTGCTTTCTGTTTTTTTGCGGAATTCTGGCTTCGTCTGCGCTATAGCGGCCCTTATCCCGCGCAGAGAATGCTTCAAATATTCGGGCATAAAAGGTCTAGGAATTATCTCAATCTTCCAATCTTGCTGTCGTCTGAAATGCACATGTTCCTCCCTCAATTCATATTAGTTTCACATCCATATTTGCAGTAGGTAGGGAAATATCTGCAAAAGGAAGTGCGAGTTCTTGTCCAACTGCCTCCTATTTTGGGGAAATTCTGCCTTGGTCTGCACCGATACCGGTCCTTATCCCGCACAGAGAATACTTCGTATATTCAAGCATAAAAGGTGTACAAATAATCTGAATATTGCAATCTCGTTGTCAACTGAAAGGCCACATGTTCCCTTATCTGTTCATATAAGTGTCATGTCCATATTTGTAGTAGTTAGGGAAATATCTGGAAAAGGAAGTGCGAGTTCCTTTCTTACTGCTTGATATTTTTGCGTAAAACTGACTTTGCGGTATACAGGGTCCTGTACTCGCAAAGAGAATGCTTCATATTTTCGAGAATAAAAGGTCTTAAAATTATCTAAACATGGCAATTTTTGTGTCACCTGAAAAGGCACACGTTCCTCTATTTATTCATATGAGTTTGATTTCCATTTTTGCAGTAGTTAGTGAAATAACTGCAAAAGGAAGAGCGAGTTCTTGTCTGACTGCTTTATATTTCTACGTAATTCTGACTTGGATATTTTTGCGTTATTCTGACTTTGTGCTATACCGGGTCCTGCACTTGCACAGAGATTGCTTTACATATTTGAGCATAAAAGGTCTTGAAATTATCTAAATCTGGAAATCTTGGTGTTATCTTAAAGGCCACGTTTCACCTATCTATTTGTAGGGAACCGTTCCTCGGTAAGGGCGCCCTCGTCCTTCCAATACGCGTAACGAAGGTAATTAACATAAAGTGGATACATTTTTATAGGCTTCCCGGGCACGCGGTGTGAAGATGATCTCTTTGCTTTTGGTCTCGAATGTAGAACTGTACTCTCTGCATTTTGCTTCTGTTAATTTGCAGGGAGGATGGCTTCTGCCATGCCCCTAAGTGTGGGAGAGAGTCAATGTTAGGAACCCCTACTAAGTACCTATAATTGTATAAATACTTCTGTCGGAGGATTGTACGATTTACGGGGCCCAATGTTGTAACTGCTTTCTGTTCTACAACGTGCCTACTGTATTGGTTAAATAGCAGTATAAGCCTTTGACCATTCATTGTATTGTTTTTTTCGGTGCCGTCTAGCCATTACACTACACCAACTGTTTTTATATTTAATAAATTGTAGTTCTGGAGTTATACAACATTTATTGTTCACGTGTTCTCCAAGTGCTCGTCCGCTTTAATTAGGGGACCGTTCCTCCTTCCTCCCCCTGTCCAACTGACATGGGGCTATTCCGCTACATATTCATACAAGTTTCCTATCCATATTTGCAGTAGTTAGGGAAATAGCTTCAAAAAGAAGTGCGAGTTCTTGTCTGACTGCTTTATATTTCTACGTAATTCTGACTTGGATAAGAAATTTTGGCTCTATCCCATTCATTCATTCATTCTTGGGCCAAATTATCTATGAAACGGTCATTGTGGGATTCGGATACGTCCGAGTAATCACTTTTCGGGATCACTTGGGCACATGGAATGGAAGATTGTCAGCTCTCCTGACTTGAAATGTTGGAGCCATTGGTCCGGAGTGAGATTATCCCCTGAGAAGTCATTGTGTATTGCGGACGCTGGAGAAATCACTAGGAAAACGTCCCATTGTGTAAACAGTGTTTGGTCTGTGTTCGGTGGTACGTAGCTCAGTA